AATATGGTAACTTGCTATATAAGAAATATTGTATATAAATATAATTTTTTGTAATATAAACTATTGTGTGTATGTGTGCATGTATTTAAATATGTATAACATATGTTCATATTCATATAACATACATGTGTAAAAGCATATTATTTCTATATATATATATATGTATATGTATATATATATATATATATATATATATATATATATATATATATATATATATATATATATATATATATATATATATATATAATGTAAAACATGTCCGTTATAGCTCTGTAAGTCCTGCTTTATGTCCCCATTTCCCCCTTTACAACACACGTGTCATATGACAATGTTAAATGCAATGTGTACTATGTTGTTGATAAATATATATATATAATAGATAAATAACTTTTAGAAATGTACATTATAGCATATTTGGTCCCGTTTCTTGACCCCCATCTCCCCTGCATTCTTCTATTAGTCTATATTATTTGTTAGAATCATCCCGCATACTGTGATAGGAATCTTTTCAGGGGTGACAATACTTGCACTGTCTGCGATTGTATATATTTGTGTTAATAAATATTTTATGCAAACGAAAAAAGTGTCAAGTATTTGCTTCAGGAACTACGTTTTATAGATATATGACAAAGGGGAAAATGGTGTTTTCCATGAGATATGTTTACCATCGATCATATATGACAGTCAGAGGAGGGTCTAGGGTTTTTTTAAACGAAAAAGCTGTTATACAGATATACAGTTATAACAATATAGCTTACATGTTTTATAGTCCGTCAACTGAACTTTTGGCACCCTGTTTTTCACAATTTACTTTTTAACCAAAAATGTTTTTGTGCATACGCTTTTTATATCTTATGACCTATCCAAGGTTTAAATTTCATAATTTTATGTCAATTATTAAAGCTTCTTCTTAAGAAGCCATCTTATACAAATATGAAAAATAGAAGTAAACTGAGGGGCAAAAGAAACGTCCCCGATCATTTTTGTATCATAAAATGATACAAACACGTGCAATTCAATGTTGAAATGTTTGATATAATTTTTGAACATATTATGCAGACTGTCATTACAGAACAATTGAAACAATTTGCTGTAAGTAGAGTTTTTGTGACGTTTTTCACAGGAGGTTCAAATGTCCGGTTTTCGATCATGACAACACATGCACATCAGTACTGACAGAGTGTCTTTGAGTGTCCAACTCCTCAGTAGCGAGTGTGTCCACCTCTTGCAGCGATACATGCTGCCACACGACGTCGTGCAGAGTGCACAAGACGTCTGATCACGTGATGTGGGATGCGACGCCATTCTTCCTGTAGAGCTTGAGCCAAAGCGTTTCTTGTCTGTGGGGATGTTGACGTTGCTTAACCTGACGGCCGAGATGATCCCATAGGTGCTCAATAGGTGATAAATCGGGGGATCTTGCTGGCCAAGGAATGACGTTTACGTTGTTGTTGTTCAGGAAGTTCCGGGTAACAACAGCAGTGTGGGGAGTAGCGTCATCCTGCTGAAACAACACGCCTCGATTCTGCTGGAGGAAGGGTAACACGACAGGTCGTAAAACAACATCAATGTATCGACGGGCATTCAGGTTTCCCTCTATCACCAACAAGTCAGTCTTCCTCTCGCCACAAATTTCCCCACACCATCACACTACCGCCGCCAAACGTCTCAACTTCCTGAACGCAACAACGTGCTGTGCGTTCGTTCCGACGTCTGTAGACTCGTACCCGACCATCAGCTTTGTTCAACTGGAAGCGGCTCTCGTCACTGAAGAGTACCCGGCGCCAGTTCCGCGGCTGCCACTGCCGAACTCTACGTGCCCAAGCCAATCGACGACGTCGATGTTCACGCGTTAACGTCACGCCCCGGAATGGTCTGTAGGCTCTGATACCGAATCGGCGGAGTCGTCTGGATATGGTCCTTCTACTGACTGGATGGGTAAGGCTGGTTGTTGCTGATGACGTCACAGTCAGGAATCTGTTGCGCAAGTGAAGCACCCGTAAATGGCGGGCTTCCTGAGGGGTGGTTACGGGTGGTCTCCCTGTCCTAGGCCTGTCTGCAGTCCGACCTGTTGTTCTGAAGCGTGTCATCAGTCTGGTGATGGTTTTCTTGCTGCAACCCATGATTCTTGCAACGCACCCAGCTGCAACATCCCAATAGCTCGTTCTCTCTGTTCTGCCGTGAGTCGAGGCATGTTCTTTGTGTCCAACGTATTGAAGTGATGCATTCGAACAGTCGAGCATAATTTTTATACTGTACTTTCATACGGGTATGTTTCCACAGAAGCATGCAAAAAACGTGAATAAAAGCAATTTTCATGCTTACAAAAAACTCCACGTGGATTTCCTTTCTGTGAGACGTGGGGATGCGTTCGGGAGATGTGTTCCTAAATAAATTTCCGTCATAACGAAAACAGAAGAAATGTTTTTTACAATTTTACTTTGGGGACGTTTCTTTTGCCCCTCAGTTTAGTTATACAAGGGAGTAAAATGTTACGATGGAACAGCCAACAACATGTTGTGACACGCGTGCATCTTGTTTATATTGTTACGCCTGCAAGCAAATCTACAGGGACTGTATAATCATCATAAATCCATTTTACACAAGTAGATTCATTCACACTGGTTGCTTGATCTTTTGTATCTATATCCAAATTTGAGCAACAGCTTGCATATGGTATGTTTTGGTGGGATTGTGAATGTGATTATTATGTCATGTGAGTGCGTGAATGAGTGAGTGAGTTAAGATTTATAGTCACATCGGCAATATTTCAGCCATATCAAGTTATAAACTAATAATAAATGGAATTAAATTACATAAACCTGTCAAAGAAGGACAGTAATATTATGTCATACGAAACAAATTATGCAATTAAATGTATTTATGTATAATGCACAGTGCACATAAATATATATTTCCTGATGTGACATTTAACGCTTATTTCGTGTATTTGCTGATTTAAAACTTCATAATAATATTTGTCAGATAATTCATTTTCGTATATTTGTATATGTGCAATACTGTGCATGCATATTATGTTACATGCAATATTAGTAAAATAGAAAATGTCACCATATCTTGAAATGACTCAAATTCGTATATTTGCGAGTGCAAAATGCGATAAACAAAACGTGATCAATTTTACTGTTTACCAGCAAGTGCTGGCATACTTGCATTTCTACTACAAACTATAGCTTTAATCCCCATCGCTGTAAGGATTAGTACGGTCAGTAATTTTAATCCCTAAACAATACGTACAGGCAAAAAGAGAACACCCCCTCAGGGCGTCGACCTTTGGTCAAATCATCACGGATGAGTGAAGAAAAAAAGTCGACGTCCTGGGCGTTTCGACATTTTAGCAATTAACATTGGATTATAGAGACAATGACGGATCTACGTGTTGTTAGAAGAGGAGAATCCGGATTATGCGAATGAGAGCACACCTAATGAGAAAACGAGCCAAATATGTGTATAAAGATAGTGTTGTATTTCAATCTCAGTTCACCGAGTATATATACAATGTACATTAAAATATAGATCATAAAATAAAATAAATAGTAGTACAAATACATATACATGTATACAAGTTCTTATTTTTTATTAATATTTATTAAAGATGTACAAAAATGAGACGCTGAATCAGCAAATTGCCTAGTTAACAGTTAACATTCCAATTTTGAGATCATTGTGTCTGAGTTCTTGAAGTCGACGTTCCTGGTCTCTATTTCATGGATTGCCTATGGCCTCCGGCATATTGTACCAACTTGTGTAAAGTGTTGGCCTGCTCCCTGATCGTTTAAAAAATGTTGGGGCCGACTTGCTAGAAAGGGCTGAAACCGAGAAATTAACCCGATTGTCGGCTTGGCGATACCTCCCCGCCTGGATCGGAGGAGGCTGCATGAGAAGAATTGATGTCCTGGGGAACTTACTAGACGAAGGCATAGTTGACGATCTGTTTTGTGTTGGTAATTCCATGGTGGAGCTGTATAACAACTGGAATCGGACCCTTGAAGTTTTGTTTAGAAACAACTTGAACTTGTCTGCATCTAATACAATGCTCGGACCTACATCAGCAACAATCCCCGGGTGTGTGTGGAGGAATGGCACTGTCACAGCGAGTAACAACAAACTACGGTCTACTTTCCAAATTATCGAGCGGTGGGTTAGCTTAGTGGTTAAAGCGTTCACTCGTCACGCCGAAGACCCGGGTTCGAATCCGCACATGGGTACCATGTGAATATGGCTAAAAACGGCGTAAAACTAATCGTACTCACTATGATTGTGTGGTGCACTCTGGTTGACAATAGGCTTTCACCAGTTGATGAGTTAGAGGTTAGTCGGGTGTTTATATATATATATATATACATACAGTACTGCACATAATTCTTCACTTTAAAAGTGTTAAGGTTCATCTCGTTAGGGTAATTTACACTACTTCACATTGTGTCACGAGCTTTATTATGACATCTATAACTTTAATTGGTCATCCCCTTGATCGTCTCTGCCATGAGATCAATTAGCCCAAGGTAATGTTACTGTTTCTTTGTCTGTCCACTGGGCGGTGGGGTAGCCTAATGGTTAAAGCGTCCAGGGTTTGATTCCCCACATGGATACAATGTGTGACGCCCATTTCTGGTGTCCCCCGCCGTGATATTGCTGGACTATTGCTAAAAGCGGCGTAAAACCATACTCACTTACTATTTGTCCACTGTTGTCTCCTCGTCTGTCCATTGTTGTCTATAACTTTATATACAAATATGTTCACATCTTTACTGTCAGGCAAGGTAACAACACTCCATGGCACACTCGTCGAACAACACAATAGAATATATGGATCCCTGTCCATGTTGGTGTGTTTGGCAATGAACATGGCGGCCAAGCAGCCAAAGTGGCATTTAAACTCCGAAAGTGAACTTTTGGTTCTATCTCTTTCCGTCACCTTCCTTCCTTGACCGGACAACGTAAAAATACCCGTATCTAAAAACGAAATACATAGCCTATCATAGCAAAATATAATCTTCCTAAAGTAAATACCTAATTTTAAAACTTAAACAAAAACATTCTACATTTAAAAAACCCACAAAACACCAAACAGACAAATGCACACATTGCGACGAAACAGAAACGCCCAAACACGTGTTACTAAACTTCATACACTACCAACAACACAAAATGGTGCCCCAGAGTTCACTGGACACTAACACACACCTAACACTACCAACCCTCCCATACATACTTCTAACCAAAAATGGCATTTTAGGTCACTTATATTTAATTGGAAAACTGGTAGTTCAATAATTAGATTTAATCCTTTCCCATGTCCGAGTGACACATCCATACAATGGTTCCAGTGCAAGACGGCGAGCGCATGTTTCAAAGGTGTAAACATTGTATCAAACATTGTATGAAATATATGCCCGAAGTTAGGAAATATTTGCACTCAAACACAAATCCGGTCATAGCATGTATTTCCTACAGTGTTTGCGTTCAACGGTGTACAATCCGGTCGATGCGGTAAAACATCCATGGCATAGAACAAGTATATATGGATGACAGCTTCTTATATTTATCCATATATACTTGTTCTATCTGACTTCCAACTTCTAAACTTCCACTCAAAGAAGCATCCATGGTATGTTTTACATTCACGAATCTGTCACACACCATGTGGCTAACATAAAGTCTGTAAATAGAAATCACATCACAGCATCACAAAATGTCCTTGTTCACCCAGATTTGTTCATGTCACATGAAAATTCTTCCAGGTGTTCTGTGAACACAACTGATGAGATAAGCGGAGTGAGCATGGGGCGTAAACATTGAAACGGGTAGATACAGTGTTTTGAGAAAGGAGGGGCGTGCAGTTCTGAAAGGGGGGGTGCACAGTTCATTTCCACCCATTTTCTCGAGAATTTCAATTGCTCATTTAATAAACTTTCAGGACAAAAGGCGGGTGCGCACCCCTACACCCCCCACCCTCTCTGATCCGCCTATGTGAAACACACATCCATGACGTCATTATTTGTAAACTGGCAAAATTTCACACACAACAGAACCTGGTTTATCTTGACTGAAGAGTTTCAAATCATCGGAATTACGACTGTTGGATTACCGTTCACACATCCTTCACGCCAGTATTTTAAATTGGCAATTTACACACACAACAGAACCTGATTACTCTGGACTGGAGAGTTTCAAATAATCAGAATTACCACTGTCGGGATTACCGTTCACACATCCTTGACGTCATTATTGAAAACTGGCAATTTCCACACACAACAGAACGACTGTCCAGATTAACGTTCCATTTTACCGCAGTCACGACTTTGTCGCTTTTGTGTTTACAAAGTGTACTCCAAGTGTTCACACCCGAGCCATAATATATTCCTTTACATGTACCCGTATTCATATATGTACAACATTTTTATAAAAGATTTGGTTCTGTCTCTTTCCGTCACCTTCCATCCTTTATGTGCGAACAAACAAGTTGAAGAACAATAATCTGCAATAACCTCGACTGCAAGTTCTTCTGACCTGAAGTAGATGTCGCCCCTGTAGTAGCAGTGGGTAAGGTTGTAGTCCTTACATTCACATAGAGACGAAACACTTCCATATCCACACCATTGTTCCTGCAGGTCCAGTTTCCCCTGTGCTTTAGTTGCACAGAAGGTATGGTAAACACTAGGATGCTTGCGTTGGTGAGATGTCTTTCAAAGACAAGGCCATGGAGGCTGTTGGAACAACTGTTGTAGGACTTGCAATGTAGGCCATTAAAACCATCTGGCTGAATGACACTGATCATCTCATGTGGCTCCTTGACTGGACAACTCAGAGTAATGTTTGAATCTTGCTCGGCTGTGAACGATTTTGCTGAAGCTGAACATATAGAATGACTCTTGAATATTGTTTAAAGAGGCGTAAAACTACACTCACTCATTCACCCACAAATGTGGAAACGACAAAATATATCTATCATGAATCGTTACTTGTTAGACTTGCACAAGTCTCTAAGGTAATCATTGACAATTTAAATGATAATTTCTAGAAAAGTATAAATAACAGACTAGTTACTGTACTGTCCCCTTATCTAGACTTGCCTCTTTAACGGATAGAATTACTATACATCCATGGGCTTAGCCTTCAGTACAGCCTTGAGGCAAGGTCAGTTATTTGTGTGCAACTGGTTGTTTGGGGGTTTGTTTTTTCTACTTTTTCGACACACATTAGTAGGTATATTAATGCATTTCCAAATAAGGGTAATTCATTGTACATAATGAGGAATCATGACATATCAATACATGCTGTAAGGAATGGTAGCCATTTGCGCATACATTTATTTGGTTGGTTTTTCATTCTGGTAATATCTCTCTCAACTTGAAAGATATCTTTCAAAGTAGCACTGACAGATTTAAAAGACAAAGCTTCATTTCTAATTCAGCTTATACATATATATATATGTCTTTTTCCGGCCAAAAGAATATGTGGTTCAACAGTTTGAAGTTTGCAGTCCCCTGAATACTAAATAGGATGGATTTGAGATTTAGTTGAATCTCATAACACAAATGTTGTCTAAAAAGCTCAGACCAGATAAGACCAACCAGTGAACATTCAAAATAAACATGTACAATCGATTCATTTTCGTTATTACATCTTTTACAAAGACTGATAAGTTAATCTTAAACAATTCATTTTTAGCATGTATAGTACGAAAAATCTATATTGAAAATTCTGAAGCTTGATATCTCTGCAGCATTGTTTAGGAAGACTAAATATTTCCTACCAGTTTAAGGACATTTGATGCCATTTACTGCAGATATTAGGGAGATAATCATTTTGCATAAGTTTATCATAATAAAATTATATCTTACGAGATACAACTGGTTGTTGCTGATAAACGATTGTTAACGGAATGTCGAAGTATGTTAGCTGAATGAGGTCATCACCATATTTCCCTGAGACACCCGCCGACACAAAAACAAGTACTAGTATCCATACGTTTCAGACGTCGATCTGAACACGTAAGTAATACCGCTTTGGATGGCCATACGAACTACACTTCAAGGTTTTCGAGTGCACTTAAACTGTACTTTCGAATGGTATACCCGGTCACTGAAATCGTTTTGCCCGAACAAAAGATGTACTTGACTTGACTGATGGTTCTGTATGTCATATATAATCTTACAACTCTGCCATCGGGTGCCACCTACTGTGTCTGATAAAGGTGTTACATTTAATGCAATATAACAAGGACATTTATCTTCTCTCATAAATGTCGTTTTCTGATTGGCTGAGTCTATTATTTTCAATGTACCCCGCTTACAAGCGAGTAACATTTTCTATGTTAAGGCTTGGAATGGCGAACTGTGGGAATTCATTTGGTAATTCGTGTTAGTAATTCTTTATCTCGAATAATTGAGTCACGTATGATGTACGGAAATTACCGATGTTTTGCGATTGCAAATCGATAGAAGGCAGATAACTCTAAACTCGGTATTGTCTAATTGCCTAACTCTGGTACTCCTTATTATGAGCCTACACCCGTGCTTCAAACAGTTAAAAAAATTACCATTGAGGTGTTCGGTAAGATAAATACGTTGTTTACTGGTCCGTCGGGGTCCATGGGTTGATGTAACCTCAGTGTTTGTACATCAATCTATGCCCACCTCGTGACCAGTGAACAAATTATAATGTGAATACACGATGCCTTTTAGAAAGTGGTCAAATGCAACATACGGGGTTTTTTTTATTACAAATTCTCAGATAAGTACAGTTTCTAGTATTTTGGGGGTTGGGTCCCAACATGTGTTGCAAGAGTATATGTGGTTAACGAAAAATGTCAATGAGAGTCGCGAAGTTGTTAACGGAACGGTATAAAGAAACTGTCCCTATACTGGGTGCAAAACCAGCCATATACCGGATCTGGATCAGCCTATGCCTTGCATAAGCATACGTAAGGACATTCAAAATGGGGAATATGTTGTAGGAATATAAAAATATAAAGGTCATGTCAATACGAATTTGAGCCTTCAGGTACGATTTACTTACATTATTGAATATTTTCTTATCGACGCCCGCCCTCCTAATGTAATTCAATGTTCAGTTCACAAGTCCTCAGTAAAGTAAGCATATTGTTGTTTATAACAAGCTCAGCAAGTAGGTCCTCGATGTCAACGGAGTTTAATGCATTGAATGAAGTTCTAGTTTTGAGCAACTCGACACCTCGAGCAACTCAATATGTTTGTGTTTAACAAGTTTTAATCCTACACAAAAATACTAGTGAAAACATATTCTTGATTCTATGGGTGCTGACGGGTGGAAGGTTGGTTGGCTGGTTTGTTGTATGCTGTTTTACGCCACACTCAGCAATATTCCACCTATATGGCGGCGGCCTGTAAATAATCGAACCTGGACCAGACAATCCAGTGATCAGCATCATGAGAATCGATCTACGCAATTGGGATACGATGAAATGGCCAATTATATCATGACGGGTTGAAGGAGGACTTTTCAACAGGTTTATTCTATGTAAATGAATTGATTACAATGTGTAAATGTTTTCCTTTGTATGTCGTTCGTGGGTCTAACCTATTTACGGTATTATATGATATAGAAGCTCTCAGAGTACTCCCACACAATAAGCCGACACATCCTGTCCTATTGTGTGTGATAAGCTGTTGATGACAAAAGTACAAGGTTTGTTATGTCATTATGACCTGGAAAGCTATATATTATGGCAGTGTTACCTTCGTATGTAGTACATATACATTGTCAGGTGTAGGCGGATGGGGTGAGATGTATCTCTCATCTCTGATTGACAGCTTATATCCTGCATTCCATATTACTCACATCAAGTCTGAAAGTGGGTCAAGGCTGTACTACAACCATGCATTTACCAATAGATATAGCAATATTTATAAAGTTAAACAAATCTGATAATATTCTTACCTAGAACGTTCATCGTTAAACATAATAACAGCAGGTTCATGATCTTTCTGCTCCAATTGAGCGAGGATGCCGTGACAGCTTCTAGAAACGACTTGAACATTACGTAGTTACGTGACTGGGGCGTAAGAGGGTATTCCCCGTGTAAACATTACAACCTGTTCAACGAGTGCGCAGGTCGTTGCCAGGCAATGCGTGTTGGAATGTGTGTCACGGTTAAAGGTTGTTATTTGGTTATGTTTACATGCGGCTACAGCTTGACATGCTGATATTGTCCATGTGATTACCAAGGCGCGGTTGGTGTAATATATGGGGCTTTTTGATGTGGGTGAAGGTCATCTTGTAAACATTCATTAAAGGTAACAGACTTGTCCATAGTCACAATTTCTCCCGAGGTTAGAAAAGACGTAATGACATTTCTGCTTAGTTTAGCAATACGTCTGTGTTTGATCAGCCCAAAAGGTGAAAGAAATAAAAGAAGAAAAAAGATCGTTGTCAGCTATGTAATCTAATGAGAGACGAATTTATTTATAACTCGTTTTTATACATATATTTTCAAATGAAACGGCAGTTTGCCAAAGTTGATGATGATGTCGTACATGATGAAAACAAAGGAAAGGTCATTCATGGTGACGTGGTCTTGGTCGTGGCCCTGGTGGTGGCAGCAGATGCCTGTATGCACGGGAGATACCAAGGGGCAGTCATCAACTTCATGCCAGTTTTGTGATAGCTAATAGGGCTGCGCAATATAAGCGGTTTACCGGTATATACCGGTTCAGACATGAAAACGATACATATTGCGATACGCTGATTGAAAACCGGTATTTTGACATGCATTCGAAAAGACTTCGTAACACTCGGAAATCTTCGGATATTTCCGTTTTATAAATTGTTCCTTTCCTTTTTTTTATTTGTGCCAAATATTATTTACATTTGTAATTTTTCATGATTAAAAGTTTTTATTAAAGCTTAATCAAGCATGGTGATTTTGTTGTGTTTTTGCTTTATAAATCAAGCATTAACTCGATTATAAGTATTTTTTTGTTAAAAAAATAACTTTTTGCAATATATTGCAATACATATCGCAATATATGCTTTTGCATCACAATATATTGCAATATGAAAATTCTCTGCAATACCCAGCCCTAATAGCTAATCATTTGGCAAAGGTACAGCGTACATAGATTTACCAAAAGGTCGCCAGACAACTACGTAGACCAGTATCTGTAGATAGGAAGATTCCTTATCCTGCAGAAATGTAGTTGATGCCACTGGGGCTTGTAAAGCGCGACTCACACGGGTCGTAACGACGTGCCGATTTCCATACATTGTATAAGGTCGGTGGTTGAAACGAATATCGACTGATCGATTTTGCTACCTCTCACACGATTCGATCTGCCCATATTAGTGTTGATCTCATAATATCTCGCTGTATTTTGTTTTCCTGGTATCCACATGTCTGAAGCAGACTTAGCAGCTGTTATCTGCTGCGCGATACTGTGTGAAGAAGACGGCAGTGACTTTTCCGGAATGCCAAGTTGATCGCCGTTAGCGCAGCATGTCTCTTTTCTCTTTTGGAATAATCCCTGTTCATGATAATCCATAGTGTTTTGTGACTCAGATAATGAGACATAAAACGCTCCGTTTCCTCCCTTGAAAAATCGGGACGTGGTTTCTTTGAAGCAGACGAAACCAAGTTTCGCGTATTGGTAAACATTTACCACGTGACACCAAAACGCAAACTGATTGGCCGAGCCACATCCAACTTGCTGAAAAACTAGAACTGGCTCTACACACACGCGACACAAGCGACGCGCGTTTGAACGACCGATGGGTACCGTTTGTTGAATTCGATTAATCACTCAGACGATACGACTTGGTCGAATTTGGCACATCGATATACGGGCCGAGTGTGAGTCCGCCTTTAACACAGGTGTACCGTATGACTGAATTACTTGTGTAAATATGTACCAGCACCTTGACATCGCAACGATAGAATACAGGTCAGTTATTATCTGTGCACTTTCTGCACGGATAGGCGCAGCTAGGGGCAGAGTGAGCAAAGGTCGGGTTTCGTTGTGCGGTTTCTATTGTTTGCTCCGATTATGTCCGGTGTCATCTGGCTAACTGTTGCTACTTGTACTCTATTGGTACTTGCCTCAGTAGCGTGTTTTTGCATTTCCAAGTTTTATATTTCTTCTTCATTTTTCCTATGCTTCAGTAAGTTCTATTGAGGGACATATTTATTATAATTGTATACAGATAAGTATAGATACAGAACGTCAAAGCCGCAGAATAACGAGTATGTATTCATTGGGAGAAAGGGCTAAATAGAGGACACACATATATGTATGAATGAATCACCGAATGCCACAGAGTGATGACAAAGAGAAAAACGTATTATTATTAAGCATGCGCTTCCGTTCCGCCACTCAAAAGATGACACGGGGTGTTCGAGAAAGGCTTATTAATCATGTGCTTCCGTTCCACCACTCAAAAGATGACACGGGGTGTTCGAGAAAGGCGTATTAATCATGTGCTTCCGTTCCACCACGGAAAGAAACTGGAAATGTTACAAACTGGAGTAGATGGTATAGTGCTCGATACGAAGCGAAAATTCATGACTGGAACAGAACACATCCCCCCTGTGATATAGAATGATACAAAGGGTGAATTTCACAGAGATGTGCTGATTCTGGACAGAGATGGACAGATGAAGTTGAGATACTCACTTATCTTGGCATTCTTGAAAGAAATATGAGCATTTCTAAAGCTAAACCTGAGGTTGAACTTCTTCTTAGATTTTACTGAAGTGGAAAAAGATACGAGTTGTCTGAGAAAGAAACAGAATAGATAGAAGGAGAGAGACATATATATGAATAGGGTTATTTTCAGTATCAACAAACCATAGCCTTCATCATGATTCATCATCATCATCATCATCATCATCATCTTTATTTCCTCCTGTTGCAGGTCATAGGCATATTACACATATGGTTTTAAGAGAATGTTAATGGTATCGTAGGCACTATCAGGGACTATACACGTGTTTGTATATTCTAGGAGTTACTGTGTTTTACCATGACGGGAAACATTTGTCAAACTTGAATATTTGTCCCTGTTATTCTAAAACTTACAACCTTTTGCATATTTCAAAATACACAAATGATTAACCTGTCTTGTCTCTATTATTCTTTGACATTATTTAATTAAACCTGGTGTTTCCCAGTTTACAAAGGATTTATGTACTTTCACAGGGTAAGTGAATCAACGTGTACACAAACTGTACTATCCGTACAGTAAAATAATCTCCCTGAAAATAATCTTAAGTTCCAAAACGCCCCAAAGATCCCCACCCCCGAAAAGAACAACAAACAACTCCTCTAAACAACAAAACAACTCCTCCCTCCCAACAAAATAAAAACCAACCAAAACCAAAAAACCCAAACCAAACAAACAAAATCCCAACAACAAACAAACAAAACAATGCTAATTAAACAAAATAAAAAACACCAATAAAAAGAGACAAGCAAACAAAAATTAGAGTAAACCAAAGATAAATTCGGATGCTTTGTAAAGTAAGTTATCATCCCAAGTCAGTTATAGTGTCGGATGTGACCGTTCTAGCATTAATGTTGTACGATTTTACTGCGCCTCGCTCAGATCCATGTTCACACTTTCACAACAAACGGTTATATCATCATACCAAAAATGGGCTCCTTGGAAATAAACCACTGTAAGCAATACGTGTAACTGTATGTATATAAGTGTGAACATAGATCTCAGCGAGGCGCAGTACTCGAGCAACGCCTTTTAAGTTATTTACGGTGTCAGTTGGGTGTGGTGCGGTGCCATATAATTGTTCCTCTTCCTCAAACCAGCTTCTAAATGCCACTTAAATTATAGAAGTAGAGTGGTTGGGTTTAGACCGTTGCGTTGCGTTGCGTTGCGTTGCGTTGCGTTGCGTTGCGTTGCGTTGCGTTGCATTACGATGCGGTTTTGTTCGGTTCGCTGTGGAGTGATTTATCACTGTATGACTGTGAGTGTTGTGGTGTATGACTGTGAGTGTTGTGGTGTATGACTGTGAGTGTTGTGGTGTATGACTGTGAGTGTTGTGGTGTATGACGATGAGTGTTGTGGTGTATGACTGTGAGTGTGGTGTATGACTGTGAATGTTGTGGTGTATGACTGTGAGTGTTGTGGTGTATGACGATGAGTGTTGTGGTGTATGACTGTGAGTGTTGTGGTGTATGACTGTGAGTGTTGTGGTGTATGACTGTGAGTGTTGTGGTGTATGACTATGAGTGTTGTGGTGTATGACTGTGAGTGTTGTGGTGTATGACTGTGAGTGTTGTGGTGTATGACTGTGAGTGTTGTGGTGTATGACTGTGAGTGTTGTGGTGTATGACTGTGAGTGTTGTGGTGTATGACTGTGAGTGTTGTGGTGTATGACTGTGAGTGTTGTGGTGTATGACTGTGCATCTTTGGTGTCTATATCTGATGGTTGCGGGAGCCGCTGTCACTCGTGCGAATGAAACCTTCTCAGAAAAGGAAGAGGGCCGACCGAGAATTGACATCAAGGGAAAATAGAAAAGACACCTGAAATGTTTTACCTTCAAAAAAATCGTTATTTAGAATGGAGGAGAAGGTCTCAAAGAAGTACAGTTATAGCAGAGTTCCCATGTGAGGTTATTTGTACAGTCATTACTTGTTACTGGAATTCATTTGCAGTAATTTGTGTTGATTTGTAAACTTACTGTCTTACTACAATTATTAATTGAAAACTTAACACAACAACTTCATTTAGTGAAGGTTGCAAGGTTATATAAATGATGACAATGTTGGTTTAATGACTTAGTCCGTTTCTATGACAGTGAGCATGTATCTGTGGCTCTGTAGCTATTATGTACCGCAAGTGAGGAGGCAATTCGCCTTGCAGAGTTGTGTCCCTTGCGCCAAGTGCCATTTTACTGTTATTGGTTATTGTTAAGCCTACTAAAACTGAAGAATTTTCCTTTTTTAAAGCTTCCTGTTATCTGCCACAATTACAATGAAACTGGAAAACTTTAAGACTGAAACATGTTTTTGAAACATTCATACAGACGCACACAGATTATGATCTGCTTCGAAGCTTCGACTGAAGAAACCACGAGTGTTGGTGAATGTGTATA